ATAATAATAATAATAATAATAATAATAATAATAATAAATAATGATAATAATAATCATATTCCTTTCTCACACTCATAATAATAACAACAATAACAATAATAATAATAATAATAATAATAATAATAATCATAATAATAACAATAATAATAATAATAATAATAATAAAATGAACCATGCGATCAAAATGGAGATGGAATGGTGATGCATGTGTGTGGTAAAGATTTCTACTAGAGTAGAGAATAACGGCATATAAAGTACATCAAATTTGGTGTGGTGCCCAATTGGAGTCTTATTGTACAGCAGAATAAGTCAAGTTGTAATTGAGCTGCTGAGAAAATGTCTTCTTCAGGAAGTCTTCAGAGAACCAGGTGGACTAAGGCCATGAATGTAGCAGCAATGGAATGTTATTACTTATCTAATCCTGTGGATAATAATGGCAGGTCAGTTAGGGGGTACAGAAAAAGGATGTATGAGAGTTGGAAGGTCAGAGGAGGTGATTTAGGAATATCTGAGCAAAGGTTGTGTGATCAAGTGAGAGCTATTAGGAAGAATGGTTGGTTAAGTCAAGTAGAAATTGAAAAGATTAGGAGGAAAGTAACAGAAGATGTGGGTGAAGAATCTAGAAATAGTGTGGACAGGAGTGTTAGTGTTGAGGAAAGTGGTAGTGTCAGTCTGGAAGAAGAAGGGTTGTTCATTGATGTGGTTGATGGGCCTAGCGAGGTGAAAAGTCTTTGTGAGGAAATAGTGAAGGTACATGATGAGCTGGGAGACGGGAGTGAAAAGTATAAGTTTGCTTTCAAAACTGTCGATAGGAAAAAGTTGTCCAAGGAAACATCTAGAGTAAATGAGGCATTGACGTATATCAGAACAAATACAATTAGTGAGACGAATAGCCTAGTATATGCAGTTAGTGTCTTTATTGCAAGAAAGTTGGGTTTAAAAAATCAGCTGGTGCCAAATGGTGATGGTAGGAAGAAACGGGAACAACCTTGTTGGAAGAGGAGGCTGGAGTGGCAAATTATTGTTCTACGAAGAAATATAAGTATATTAGACCAGAAGTTAAAGGGAGCTTTAAAGAATGAGTGGAAATATAGGGATTTTGTTAGGAGGCTTGGTATTAAGAAGAAGGGAGTGAAAGCTGTGATGGAGGAGTTGAAGCAGAGGCTAAATGCAAAAGCGATGAAGGTAAAACGGTATGAACAGAGGATTAAGCAGCATTAGCAGAACCAATTGTTTCGAGTGGATCAGAAGAGATTTTATCAACAGATTTATCCATTGGGAGTTGTGTGGAAAGTTTCGGATGGAAAAAGCTAGTGATTGGTATGAGCATAAGCCTGAAGGAGTGGTGGAGAATGATGTTGTGAAGATACTGTGGGATTTTTTGATGCAATGTCATAGGATGGTAGAGCATAGGAAGCCAGATATTGTTGTTGTGGAGAAGTCAGAGAAGAGTTGTTTTGTTATAGATGTTGCTGTACCGGGTGATGCTAGAGTTGAGACCAAGGCAAAGAACAAGTGGAGAAGTACCAGGAGTTGAAGCAGGAAATTATAAGATTGTGGGGATTGAAGAAAGTCGAAGTGATACTGATAGTTGTTGGAGCATTGGG